TAAAAAAAAAAAAAAAAAAAAAAAAAAAAAAACCTTTTACGGGGCCACTAGCGTACGAGTAGCGTACGAGTACAAGAGTACGAGTCCGTACTCGTACGAGGGTGCGTACAAGTGGCAACGTAGCTCTTGTTTGTCGTTGAAAGAAGGGAATAGGATTAATTGAGTTTTCCTTATGCTTGGAATATCACGTCCTAGTCGACCGACGTCGTTCCGATTCCTGGGAGATCAGCGCCCCGGGGACGGGCGACGTTCGGATCCACTTGGCGTCAACCATGCGTACCTATGCTACAACGAACGAGCAAACGCCATCGGCCGACCTACCTCTGCAATTGCATTGTAAAAACTTTCGCACGTGGGTCGGTAGCTCGGCGGGGATACACCCCTAAGGGTGGTGACAGCCCCTTAGGGAAGGTAAGTTGTGCCCTGCGAGAACCTATCCTGCCGTAGGGGACCGCGGGATGTACAGCTGGCGCACTCGGCCGGAGCGGCGAAGGGTCGACGCGGGTTACCGTGTCGTCCCCGAGTTGTCTTTAAAAGGTTGAAAGCCTAAGTTTCTCCTGCATGACGCGGACGGGAGGGCCCTCGCTTCCGCGGGGGCCGATGCGCTCGACAGGTGGCACCGTTGCTGGGGATAACGGCAAACTACCGTCATCCCTGGTGGAATGACACTCGGGAATGGAACAAGTTAAATGTTATGTTTTAGTGGTTGTCTAAGAAAAAAGGTTAGTAATCTCTGAACTTCTACAAATGTAAGAAAAAAAACTTAATAGATGTCACCAAACTCCTGAACTGATTTTTTGGGTTTATGTCTTGGTCTCTAGATGGACGGGGCCGCAAGACGTCATGATAACATCGACGATGGGAGGAACGACATTCGAGAATTGGCGCGGGTTATCAGACACTCGCAGCGAGAACCCTACCCTAAGATTGGCGTTCCGCTGTTCGATGGAAATCATGCCTCTTCTTGGGCTGATAAGTTTGAACAGTTGGGATATAGTAACGAATGGACGGACGAAAAGATGTTTCGCATGATCAAAAAGTATTGTAAGGTGGAGTACCGGGAAGAGATCGATGAGCTGGTGCGAATCTCCCGTGATTGGCCAGACTTCAAGGCGCGGCTGTTGGAGAAATATCAACTCAGCGATCGGCTGCTCGACCTGCAGGATTTGAGAGCGGTGAATCGTAAAAAGTTTGGTACTACCAAACAATTCTTATCGAAATTTGAGCGTGTGGCTGACCTAATCCCGGATTTATCCGACAAAGATCGCTGCCTCATCTTCCTTGACAACTTCAACGACGTCGAGCAATCGAAGTTGGTTGAAGGGATGCAAGGGAGGTATGACTGGACGAAGGTTCGACAAAATGCGTTGGTGGGGAAGTTTGACGATATCCTCTACCGGTTGTTGAGGCAGCAAAAGGAGGAGCAATAAAAAGTGAAGCTGGGAGAGGTGAAGGATAGCGAAATTTACAAGACCTTGACCTGCATGAGAGAGAAGATGGAGGGCATGAAAGAGGAAAGGTTGAAGCTTCAAGTCATGCTCCCCAAAGAGAAAACGAGTAAGAGGAAGGGGAAAAAGTCGGTGGAAGAAGAAAGTAACAGTGAGAGCGAGGAGGAAGAGGAGTTGCCTCGTAAATTGACAAAGGCAGAAAGGAAAGCCTTGAATCAAATTCGAGGCGGACAGGGGACCTCCCGTAAACAGGGGAGGAATGGTGGACAAAATAATAAAGGAGGGAATGGCAGTGCTAGTTATGGTTCGGCAGGACAAAATTCCCAGGATCAGGGGCAGTTGCAGCCGCAGGGTGGACGAGGCCGCGATCGAGGCCGCGGGAACGGACAACGAAACCGTTGGGCGTGGCAGCAGGAGGCCACATGTAACTATTGTGCAGAAAACGGCCATATTATGCGGTTTTGTCAGCTATTACAAAAGATGAGAAAGAAGGGATAGTCTTCACCACGATACGTAGTGAAGTCTTTGATTACGAGGGGAATCTGATAGACCCCAACATTGAAGGGGGTATGAGGAAGGAGGCGTTTCGCCTAATGGGTCGTCCCCTTCCGGCGAGGTTTCGGATTGCTTCTTCGGAAGAAGCGCGGTTGGCCGAGGTTGAAGAGGTCATGGCATCGTTGCATATTAACGACTCGCCGGTGGAGCCGGAAGGATTTAGGGAGCAAGTGGTGGAACGAGCGCAAACCATCACGAGGAGGCTTGCCCGATGTCGGGACTCCATTATCCAACTTTGCGTGGACATGGAGGAAGTCTGGCCTGGAATGCCGAATGTCTTTCTCTTGGCGAATGAGGTGATAAAAGGGAAGATGCGACTGGCCAAGCAGGGACGTCTGCGCCGAGAGAAGTATTGCAAACCAGACAAATGGTAAGCACAATGCGACCCAGGCTTGTGTTGAAGAGAGGTTCCCCGTCTATAGTTGTTCAGATTCAGATGCGGCGACGAAGCAAGCAACTTCAGAGAGAAAGAGGGTCTGAAAAGGCAGTGGAAGAAGAGTTTATCCCCGTTAGTGAAAACGAAGAGGATAACGAGGATGAGAGGTTGCGGGCCGAAGAGGAAGAACGGGCTCGTCCTCGTGCGCTGGAAAGGGAACCTGAGAAAGGGAAGGCCGAGGTAAGCGAGGAGAAGCCGCGAAAGAAGAAAAAACATTTATTCGATCCCCGTGATGCAGGGGATCGAATTGAGCAACTCGTCGATAAGATCATGGAAAGTCAGCGCGACTTGGTCACGCTGAAGGAAATTTTGGCGGTGTCGCCAAAAATTCGAGAAGAATTTAAACAGCGAATGACTCGCAAGATAATCATGACTGTTAAGCTCGACGAAGTCATTCCACCGGAGGCTAACTGGTCCCCACCTGGGACAAAGATGGATTGGCGAACTGTGTCGACCGACCATTCAAAGGTCCAGATTGGACAACAAGAGTATTCGACACTCGTGGATGATGGAGCCGAGATGAACATCATTCGCGAGTGTCATGCCATTGAAGTTGGGTTGAAGATCAACCAAGACGACTATGGAGTTTTGGTAGGAGCTAGCGAATCGACTTCATTCTGCGGAACAGCCAGTGACGTTCTCGTCACGGTTGGAAAAGTCAGGGTCCGTTCTTATTTCTACGTGTTACCTAGAGTGGAGCACGAGGTGCTTCTCGGATGGGCATTCCTATGTCGGTCGAAAAGCATCATCATTAACAATCATGATGGAACCATGTTTGTTATCCTTTGCGATCCTGTTTGCGGCTACTACGAGGTGGTCACGTGTGCGAACACTGGACCATATTGTTCGCGGAACCGGCTGAACCCGGAATCTTATAGCTTCCCGGAGTCAGAAAAACTGAAAAGGGAAAAAGAATCACTAGGGGAGGAGTCGAATCCTCGTGAGTTTTCGCTAACCCTGCCTGATACTGGGCAGACAATCGATTTTGTGTCGACACATGTGGCAATCGATCCAAATGTGGTGCAAGCATTGATGGAGATCATCACGGACACCGGAAGCGCATGAACTATGTGCCTTGTTTACTCCCCATCGGAGGGGAATAGGGGAGAAGATAAGGAACTGCCCTCCACTCAACAGGGTCCTTTTTTAGAGGACGCAGGCTTGACACCGGCGCCAAACTTAAGTACAAGAAAGTAGGCGTGAAGGCGAAACCGGTACCTGTTCTGAACACTCAAGAGGAGGAAGTCTATTATCGTGAGGAGCGTGAGTGGATCTGAGAAATGAAGGAGAGAGGCGAAAGAGGGTAATGTCGGTTAACTAAAAAGAGAGTGGACAATATGATCATTGGGGAGGAGGATTTTCTTACTGAGCAGGAAAAGGGGTAAATCATCGATATATTGAGGGAGGAACATCTCGCCTATGCGTTTGATGATGATGAGCGAGGATGGTTGGATGTTGAAAAAATTTCGATGATTAGAGTTCATACTGTACCACATGAGCCATGGAATGTAAGAGGAACACGTTATCCGAATCCGGAGGATCACCGTAAAGTGGTCGCGTATCTTGATGGAAAGATTCGGACAAAAGTTGCAGATTACTCTTACGATGGATTTTCGTGGCCGTATGCATTTTCGTGGTTCTATTTCATCAAACCGAGTGGTAACTTGCGATGGATTCAGGACCTTCAAAAGCTGAATTCAATGACAGTGCGAGATGCAGGTGGACTCCCACATGCAGACCAACTGTCAGAGTCTTGTGCAAGGAGGTTTATCATCACCCTGATCGATTTATATTCTGGGTATGATCGATTTCCCATTTACACTGCGGATCGGCCCAAGATGGCAATGCACACTCCTCGTGGATTGATCCACATGTGTGTGGCACCTCAAGGGTGGACGAATGCGGTTGCCATTGTTCAGAGATATATCACAAGGGTTATGCAGCCTTATTGTCCTGACATAACTTCGCCATATATTGACGATTTGGCTATCCCAGGGTCTCATATAAAAGACTTGACGGAGATGTTGTCGGACATTCGTCGCTTTGTTTGGGAGCACATCAATCAATGATGTGGTGAAAGTCCTTAAGAGGTTGAAGGAGTTTAATCTCACAGCTAGTGGGATTAAGTCTCGACATTGTATGAAAAGAGAAATGATCTTGGGATTCCTTTGCGAAGAGAAAGGTCGTCGGTCGGATGCGAAGAAGACTAATAAAATCTTGGAATGACTGACCCCTTTCAAGTCGATCACAAATGTGCAAAGTTTCCTTGGAACCTGTGGATTTTGGCACATCTTCATCCGCAGGTTTGCCGCCAGAGTGGAGCACTTGCGAAAGCTTGTGCGCAAAGGCCTGAAGTGGGAATGGGGTCCTAAGCAGCAAGCGGGCGTGGACAACATAAAAACTGAGTTCTGTGAGGGCGGATTGATCCTTGGAGTTCCTTTCTTCGACGATGATAAGGACCGTCCTTTTGTTATTGAAACTGATGCGAGGCCCACAACCCTAGGAGGGGTCTTGATTCAGAAGGATGCTGAGGGGAAGGAAAAACCTATCAGATTTGAGAGCAGGACACTGAATGTTGCTGTGAGGAACTATTCATAGTTTTAAAAAGAAACTTTGGTTATGCTTCATTGTCTCCGTATCTTTCGGAATTATGTGTTCGATAGACACTTCATCTTGCGGGTGGATCCGACTGCATTGGCTCAATCCTTAAGGAATTATTCACCTGCTGATCCCACCATTGCACGATGGCTGACTTATATTTGGATGTTTGACTTTGAAATTGAGCGAATTTCGATTCGTCAAAATCGCGCTGATAGGTTGAGTCGGGTTGAATGGGATCCAAAGTCGGATCAGGCGGAGGAATCAGTCCCGGTCGATGCCTTCCTGAAGAGAGAGGAGTCACGGTTGAGTATTAACTATCTTGCTTACCTGACTGATGCGGCCACTCGATATGGGAGATCAATATGGAATGCTCCTACCTGTCACGAGGTACGTTCACAACTCGTAATGGAATAACCTTTCATTGAGGAGGACTCATGGGGCGAGCAGACCGCAGAGGAAATGATGAGGTTGGCTTTGACCGATGACATCGACTTGATGCTTGATCCGCTGACGATTGAACAAAGCCATAGGCAGACCTCACTCCGAGTTTTGGCTGGGGGCAAAGCAGCTGCCCTCAGCCTCCAGCTAGCTATAAAACAACCAACAACCAGCCAACCAGCATTCATTTGTGGCCGGTGCTGCTAGCATTTCGCTTGGGTGAATGCTGGTTGCTGAAGGAGGAGCTACTGGTGGAGTGAGAGGAAGTTGAGTGGAAGTTGAGTGGAAGTCTGGAGGTCTGCAAGTGAGGGAGGAGGATTGCTGGAGGTGGTCATAGCTGTGAAACACAGCCATAACCGCCATCTCAGCAAGGTGAAGAGAAGCGACGCTGCCATAGCCACTGTGTTGCGGGGTGCCAGCGGGAGGTGTTGCTGTTCGCAGCAGGTCCTCGACAAGTGGTGCAGGGGAGACTCTGCCCATTTTGCACGGCGGCAGCAGGTCTTCGGCACGCGGTGCAGGGGAGACTCTGGCCATTCTATGTTCATAAAAATCGATGTAATTATATAGAGATGCATCCATAACGTGATCATATTAGTACTTAGTCTTAGACTAGGTAATGCAATAGTGACTGTTTCCCTAAAGCTCGAACTTAAGTCTTAAACTTGGTACTGTCTCCATTTATGATCATTTTTGTAGAGGAATCCGATACAACCGAGGTATTAAGCGTGTTCAATCACATAACTTACACAACTTGACCTCGGGTGACTTGAACGAAATTTAAGTTATTTAATGCAATGAGATCCTATTATTTGTCGGGAGAGGGTTTGTACTCACCAAAGTTATACTTTATGTGCTCGTTGAAAGCTGTTTGAGGTTACATATTATCTAAAAAAGTACTATTTGAAAAATAATGTATTATTTTAACGAATAACATGCTCTAGGCTTAGATGAGATCTAAGGTCTAGAAACAGGGGCCACAATATTCCGCCGGCTGTCACAACATGAGATGTGTCCAAATAAAATAAAACCAACAAGAAAAATAAAAGAAGAATAAAAAAAAAAAATGGGGATGTTATTCACACCGTTGGGGCTGTCATAGTTGAAACCAACAGCTCACGACCGTGGTTGGATCTCTTAGATTTAGTTAGGTAAATCCGGAGTGAAGAGATGAGGCTCTTTCTTATCTCTTCAATATCTGAAGAAAATTAAGACAAAAACTTGTGGTTGTTTTTTGTTTTGTCTGTTGATCGTTGTTTTGCTTGTTGATCATTGTTTTGACTAATGATCGTGACAAACAAAATAAAAAGGTAATTTCTTCTAATATCAATCCAAACGGACAACTCCGGAATGAGTTAGCATCCTCGAATAGAAAGAAACAAAAAGAGAACAAGACAAAATAATGCACTTTGTGAAAAGCTGAAACAAAGTATACTTGGGAATATGATATAGAGCCCTAAGGGCTTTAACTCTCACCTAGGCTAACTTCGACCTCAATCGAATGAGATTTGACCAAAGAAAATGACTAGATCTAAGGTCTAGGATGCACCAAGGTACAAGTTAGACCTCGGGCTACTCAAAATTGAGTTGAACCTCCAAAAACTATATTTGGAGGCCGAATAGTTCTTCAAACTTAATGAAGGTTGTCCCTTGATCTATCAGATTTAAGGGACAACGTTGACCTTCTACGGTCATAAGTAAATGTTTTTCAGCATCTACACGCAGTCTGGGTTGAGGCCCCTACCTCAGACTGCATGAATCTGGTCCAGATGCGACCCAGGTGCATCCAAAAAGGCCTAAAATTGGGAAAAGGGCCTAGGGACACTTCAAACTTCCCATAACAACTGTGGGATGACCATAGGCTGACTGGTAAGTGGGGGATAACCTATATAACAAAGACAAAATACCTGCAACATTCACACTTGGGCCTTGATCTATCAAATTTAAGGGACAACGTTGACACTTAATGCTCAAAAGTAAATATTTTTTTGCATTTACATGCAGTCCGCGTTGAGGCCCACACCTCAGACTACATGAATCTGGTCCAGATAAAGCCAAGTGTGTCCAGAAGGGGCTAGGAATGGGAAAAGGGCCTAGGGACACTTCAGACCTCCCACAACTACTGTAGGAGGTCCAAAGATTGGTTGGTAAGTGGTGGATAACCTAGATAACAAAGAGAGGCTACCTTCCACATTCATACTTCCTCTCTATGCCTAGATGTTGCCCAAATGCTGGTCGGATGAGCCCTTGAGGCAACCGCAGTACTGGAATGTGCGACATTACACCTTGGGAACCTAGAGAGAGGAAGGAGGTTTGTGAAAGGGCCTCCAGAGGTTGGGGCAAGTAGTGATGGCCTAGGGAGGGGTTTTTCCACACCCCTCAGACTGTACGAGAGAGGTGGCGCTTAGAGGGAGTTCCCATAGCGCTCTTGGAGGGAGGACTCTATAGCCACTTGGTAGGGGGTGGTCCACCATAGATAGGAGGACCAAGGGAGAGGACTTCGTACGAAGGAGGGAGGAAAAAACTTGAGAAATAGTAAGAAAACTATACAACTAGCAAGGAGAAAGGAGGAGAGAGCAAGAAAGAAGCTTGGTAGGTTTAAGAAGCCATAGCTATAACTTTAAGAGATAGAAAAAAAAGGGGAGAGAAAGGAAGGAGGTGGTAAAGTGTGAACTATACCAAGACGACGATTGAAGGGAACAACATTGTGAGGTTAGTGGAAATAGGGAGGGAAAAATGATCCTCCTCTTCTTCTTTATTTTCTTCCCCTTCTTGTTTTTTTCTTTCTTTCTTTTTCTTCTCCTTCTTCTCTTTGTTCTCCTTCTTCTCCTTCTACTTCTTTTGCTTCTTCTCCTCCTCCTTCTTCTTCTTTTCCTTTTCCTCCTCCTTTTTTTTAATCTTCTTCTTCCCCTTCTCCGTTTCTTTGTTATTTTCCTTATGTACGGCCCCTTCTGCTTCTTTCTTCTCTTCTTCCCCTTCTCCGTTTCTTTTTTATTTTCCTTTTGTACGCCCCCTTCTGATTCTTCCTTCTCTTTTTCCCCTTCATCTTCACTGATCAATTAATCCTACTTTGGTCCATACTCGGTAGCTACCTTG